TCAGGGGTGACCACCAGCATCTGGGGGAACGTTTGTTCACCAGAGCGCCCCAAGGGATGACGAGGTCGAATGGTCACAAACTACTTCAAGATCGTTTCAGGCTGGACATAAGGAAGAACTTCTTTACTGTCCGAGCCCCCAAGGTCTGGAACAGCCTGCCACCAGAGGTGGTTCAAGCGCCTTCATTGAGCACCTTCAAGATGAAACTGGATGCTTATCTTGCTGGGATCCTATGACCCCAGCTGACTTCCTGCTCTTTGGGCGGGGGGCTGGACTTGATGATCTTCCGAGGTCCCTTCCAGCCCTGATGTCTATGAAATCTATGAAGTTGGGTTTTTTTCATCCCTTGTGTCTTAATTCTTGTTTATTAGTGCAGATCATGAAGGCAAGAAAAGGAGCAACTTCTGACCACAGCCAGAAATGGCCTGCAGACAGCAGCAAACCTGATAGGTTATTGTGTCATGTCAGAGGCAGTTGGGTGCCTGGGGCAACAGGACGCATGGGGCAGTGGTGACTTCTGGTGCTGCTGTGCCACTTCAGGTGTTTGTGTGGCTGTGACAGCAGCTGTTATTTTTCTAGCCCTCCTGCCTACTTGGCACCTGGGGCTGCTGCCCTGATTCCCCTGCCCTAGTTACTCTACTGGACCATTTGAAAGTCCCTGCTGCTGTTGACCTCTGAGGCTATAATTCAGCAAGCCTAAGCTTATTCAAGGACATATGTAGTCTCATTGGCATCAAGTGCTTAAGTCTTAAAGTTAAGCACATGCTTAAATCTTTGGTTGAATTGATGCCTCATTTAGAATATGACGCTGCATACCAGCTGGAGGGGCAGGGATAGTAAGCAAAGAAGAGTTTGCGTCCTCTTTCCTCAGAAGTGACCCTTCAGAGCAATGGGAAGCACTTGTTCCTCAGATGATTTTTATATACAAAATCAGAACATTTTTTAAACAAACAAGCACTTGTAGTTTTGGGTTTCTAACATATTAGACATCAAAAGAATTTATCAGTCTTCTTTACAGCAGTAAAGTCTTCTCTTCCTACTAGGTTTTGCAGGCTTATTCTTCCAAAGAACTACGGAAAACAAGCACACCCTTGTGCTCAGAATTGCACAATCTTTGTGCGCTCAGGGAAGGAAGACCAGTCAGATGTTCAGCATGACCTGCTCCTGACTCATTATTTTTTTCTGCTGTTACCAGTAAGAGCTTTTTTCCTTGTGAGTCATTTTTATACAGTTGTATGTGTTCAGTGAAAAACAAAACAAAATAAGATTTTCCTTTGAAAAGTCTGCTGGTAAGACAAAGTAAGTAATAATTTAATATAGTAAGAGGCCATTCTATCTGTGGGATAATTCAGTCTATTTAACTATCTTGTGTGTTTGTACAGCCCACATAATTATAGTTATAGTATATGAATGCCTCAGAAACTTTAAGGGGTATATGTTACAGCCATGTTGGTCTAAGAAATAGAGATAAACAAACCTCTTGGGTCAGAGGTGATATCTTTTATTAGACCAAGTAAATAGTAGCAAAAAAAATTCTTTCTTCGCAAGCTTTTGGGTACAAACACCCTTCTTCAGGTTGAGGAGAATTCAAAGATTGTAAAACTTCTCCTAGGTAGAAAAGAAACTTCATTTTGCACTGGGAAAGTAGAGGGTGGAAGTTTATTCCCCTGGGTACCTCAGATTCTGAGGCCATAATCGAGCAAGCCTAAGACACTGAGGTACCAAGGGGAATAAACTTCCACCCTCCACCTCCCCTGCGCAAAATGAAGTTTCTTTTCTACCTAGGAGAACTTTTACCATCGTTGAATTCTCCTTAACCTGAAGGAGGGTGTGTGTACCAGAAAGCTTGCAAAGAAAGATTTTTTTTTTTGCCACTATTTACTTGGTCTAATAAAAGATATCACCTCTGACCCAAGAGCTTTGTTTATCTCATAAACGTTAATGCCTTTATCCTTATAGCATTCCAGTGAAAGAGGGAAGTGCTGTTATTGCCATTTCTCAGGTGGGGCCCAGAGAAACTAAGCCCCAGTCTACACCAGAAAAGGTTTGTTAGTTTAACTCTAAAAGCAACCATTGAAGACACCATATATACTAGTAGAAAAGTTCTTGTGCTGATATAGTTTTCACTGAGTCATGAAGCAACACTATGCGACCACTATTATGCAGATATAACCAGCATTTTCACTGCATAAAAACATTATAAAACAAAACAAAATGAAAAGTCAAAGAACTCCCAAGGCATACCACCAAAAAAACAAGTCCCCAAAGTCACTTTACTACATTGTCAAAAGTTTCTAATATAAAAGCAGTTTAAGTGCCTTGCCTAGGTCACATAGTATGTCTGTGAAAGTGGTAGCAAACTAATCCAGGTTTCCCACGTCCCAAGCAATGATCCTTTTCAGCAATTTCACATTCAGATGTGAAAGATTTTAGACACAAGGATTTTTTTGGGTGATATATTATTTTGGATGAACTGTTTCTAGAAACATAAATATTGTCGTCTGTGAGATTAGGCAAGGGTGCCTGTTATAAAAGCTTGTTTACTGAAAGAGGAAAAGAGACGGAGCAAGTCTGAAACTTAAATAATGGGAATTGTTTGTTTTTTTTAACTGCAGGAAGTTTACTGGGAAGAGATAAAATTATATCTATCAACCAGAACCATTTATATCAAACAAATAATAGCAAGGGACTTCCTGTTTCTAAACCAGTGATTTTCAAGGTGATTAGTTTGAAGGCACCTCTCGGAAAATGCCAGTTCTTATCTGTCAGTCATTTTTTATATGGAAAAATAATAGAGCAATTCTGTTTGCAAAGAACTCAGAAAGACCACAACAGGTTTTGACATGGTGGTTTCATATTTGAAATCTCTGGGATTATCTTGTGAATCGTGTGTAGGTGTTCACACACCTAAAAGAGCATCCCATGGCACCCTTAAAATGAGCTCAAGGCACCCCAGGGTGCTGTGATACCTGGTTGAGAATCACTGTTCTAGACAAAGTGCCAAATTCAACCCCATCATAACTCTAATGAGGACAAAACTAAGAAAGGGAAACTAAGAGACTCTAGTAGTTTCATCCCTTGGATGAATTATCTTCCCTGCTTCTGAAACTCTGATAACAATAATGAATATTAAAAACTTAGGCCTGATTAGAAATCCTGTGCCATTTTATTAAAATAAATGGACATGAAGAGTGGTGTGTGTTAGAGTTATAGTAAAGGTGGGGGGGAGGGAGTTGGTTATCTTTGGCTTTCTTAAGGCCAGAGTAAAATAAAGTAGTTTATATTGTATAAGAAATATAATAAGAACATACATCATCTTCCTCTCTTACCTGCCTTAACTCTGTGTTCTAGAAGGAGATCAATGTAATTACATTTAAAAGTTAATTTTGGCTATTATAAATTATATTTCTTAGTATAACACTCATTCAAGTACATTGAGTACAGACGTCCATTTCTTACTGGTAAAGGCTTGCTGCTGGTCCCACTGATTTCATTGCTGCAGGATTAGGCCTTCATTCTTCCTGCCCAAAGGGCCAAGTGGTAGGCTCAAAAACATTTATAATTCAATAATGTCACATTGGACTGATAAAAACAAGGCCCCTGTTAATTGTGGCTTCTTACTGGCGCTGTGTGATTTTTAAAAAAGTAGAATTTGGAGTCGGAAAAAGACCCTCAAATCCATGCCACCCTATGGTACACTTACAAATGCTTTTTACATTCTAATTGCTGAATGTCATTTCCTGGTCTGATAGGTTGTATTGTTGGGAAATGTTTCCTGATAGTTAATTATTTCTCTTTCTTAGTTTTGTCCTGCATTTTACCACTGTAAAAAATTCTCATCCCTTAGTGTTTGCACCAGTGAGGGTGTGTGGTGTGAGAAAGGGAGGAGGAGGTGGGAGGGACAGAAGGAAGTTGAAAGGAGTCAGGCACCAATGAGATGGGGGCAGAAGGGAACAGGCAAGTGATACAGGTGGGTAAGTAGAACTGATGGAAAAGGGAAACAGAAAATAATAAGCAGGTAGAAGTGAAAAAGTGAGGGAAAGAAATAGATTGCTTCTCAGAGGAAGAAAAAAGAGAGAGCAGATGCCTTTTTCTGTCCATGCAGTGATCCAGAGGCCAGTCCTGAGAAGCCATTCCCACCCTCTTACTTCCCTGTGTACAGCATGGTGAAAAAATGTTGTGTGTTCCCCATCAGAGTGGTACCAGGTGTGCTCAGTGTTGGTCTGAAGAGCACACTGGAGGCTGAGATCCCGGGCATGTGCCAAAGAGCAACGACAAAATACTTTCTGGCAAATGGAACCTGTGCAGTGGGAGTGAGTGGCTGGGGCTTGCTTCTTGGTGTTATCATTGGGATTGCTTCAGAGGTGAGGGAAGCACATCCAGAGACTCAGAGACAGTATTATCAGCTGCAAATGTTTAACAATCATGAGATTTTTAAGAAGAAGAATTTTTGGCTTTGCTTTATTTACCAGCTGGTATGAGATTCTTTAGGGGTCACATTTTCAAGCTCCCTCCTGTCCTTATCACTGTGAGCTAGAAGTTTAGTTTTTAAAAATGAAGCCAGAAATTCTGCTATAATCATACACAGGAGCTGGAATATAAAAAAAATACCCACATAACATTATTGCCAAAGGCTGGTGGTAACATTGCAAGAATTGGCAATGCCAAGTTAGGGAGAGGATGTAGCAAAACTGGGGCATTCACAAGGTTGCGGGTTCAACAATGTATGGAGAGAGGAGAACAAGAGAGGACTGGTGAAAGGAGATATCTTACCAAGTAAACAGCGGGGAAGGGATGGGCTTAGTATGAGGAGAAGGCAACAGGATCGGCTAGCGCAGGAGGAGGGCTGGAATATTGCTATTCTTGGCTTATTCTTGTGAAGCTTGCAGAAAACAGGTATACTGGAAAATGAGGTCTTTAGCTTTAGCCTTGCCTGCACCCTGCAACAGGACTTTTAATCAAGCTTGTAAAGAGCTGGTGACTCTGAATACGAGTTAACCATGGCAACTAAACATATATCATTGCTGTCCGAGGCTTTGGCTGGTATGTGCGTATCTCCCCATGGCCAGTTTGTAATACCATTATTTCACTTTTTCACCAAACATGCAGCCAGTTTGGTCATTCTTTCAGGTTGCTTGTATGGCTGTCTTGTATGGCAGTCTGTGCCTTGCAGAGGCATTATAGGATAGTTGCTTGGGGTTGCCTTGAAAGTACTGATGTGAACATGGTTAGGCTTCATGGTAGTTACAGACCTATGGATTCACTTGACTCATGGGCTTACGAGAAAGCTGCTGTATGGACACAATCAACTGTATCTGGTTTAGGATTGAGGGCAGCCACAATGCTCCTTGGTGGCCGTGCGACTCCTGCCCCACTCCAGGTCCTTAGGATATCCTCCCTTTTCTACCTCACCTGCCACACCCTGAGGTATCTTACAATATATAGGGAAACTGCCCCAGCATCCCAGCATAAACCTCGGTCCCTCCTCTGTCTATTATTTCACGTGCTCGGCTGGCACCAGTCTCACTCCTCTGGCTCTAGGTTGTGGCCTTCCTGGTTCTGTCTGTGCCTTAGGGCACAAGCTGCCTTAGGGATGATAACTGTGCCCTCCATCCTCCCCTATAGTCAGAGAGAACCACCTTGCAGATATGATTTGGTATCATTTTGGAGGTTTCCCCCCAACACAACTCTCAGCCCCCTCAAGCCTCAAACCTTTTCTGGCTTTGGTCCTGTTTCTCTGGTTGTGCCCCCTTAGCCCGGGTCCACTGCCTTGGACCTCAGCTTCTAGACCCCAGCACTGCCTTGTCCTTTTCAGGCTCTGGGACTTCGCCCTCTTCTTGTCCTTCTATGACTCCAGGCCTGTGGCCCTGGACTTCCCCTTCTCGGGATGCTCAGCTCCCTGGCATCACTGATCCAAGCAAGGCTGCTGTCTTGCTTCTCAGCCCCCTGGGATCCCTGACCCTTGCAGGGCTAGATGCTGGGTGCCTCTCAGGCACCCCTGTGGCCTCTATACCACCCCTACAGCCACTCTCGGGTCCTCCAGTTCAACTAAAAATCTCCCCCACTCTGGGCCAGTTCCATATGACAAGCTGTACTTCCCCATTAGCTGTCTCCATCTAGCTCTCTCTGGCAGCTTGAGTGTCCATGAGCCTGTTTCCTGTAGCATGTAGGGTCAGCCCACCTGCTTTCCTTTACACCCTGGGCTTATATACCTCAAAACCTCGTCCCTTCTGGTCATGTGGCTTCCCAGCCTCACACAGGGGTTTCTCCCCTTTGCCTGATGGCAAGCCTATACTCCTCTGCTGCAGCCCTGCTGCACTCTCTACTTAAAATGACAAGAGCCTCTGGCTCCCTGTCACACCAACCCAGTTAGTTGTATATGGGTCAGATGAGCATGTTGAACTGATTATAATATTTCAAGAGGGATGTGACCCCAAAAAAATCATCCAGGGACTGGAAAAACAAATGTAGTAGATCTCAACTTAATGTGCTCATTGAAAATGAGATTGAGATGTGACTTGATTGCTGTAAGTTAGTACTTAACAAGGCTTATCAAGGTCCAGTGACTGGAAGTTAAGGTTAGATCAATTCTACCTTGAAATGAGATACAATTTGCTGTGAGGGTGACTAAAATGCATTGAAAGAAGGTACAACATGCTCCTTGCTGTGAGGACTACTGCATGCTGGAATGGAATGGTTTGAGGCAGATGTGATGGGGTCAGTGTTCATAGATTTCATAGATTTCATAGACATTAGGGCTGGAAGGGACCTCGGAAGATCATTGAGTCCAGCCCCCTGCCCAAAGGGCAGGAAGTCAGCTGGGGTCATAGGATCCCAGCAAGATAAGCATCTGGTTTGCTCTTGAAGGTGTTCAGTGTAGGCGCTTGAACCACCTCCGGTGGCAGGCTGTTCCAGACCTTGGGGGCTCGGACAGTAAAGAAATTCTTCCTTATGTCCAGCCTGAAACGGTCTTGCAGTAGTTTATGACCATTCGACCTAGTCGTCATCCCTTGGGGTGCTCTGGTGAACAAACGTTTCCCCAGATACTGGTGGTCACCCCTGATAAACTTATAGGTGGCCATCAGATCAGCCCTGAGCCTGCGCTTTTCCAGGCTAAAGAGCGCCAGGGCTCTCAGCCTGTCATCGTAGGGTCTGCTTCCCTGACCTCTGATCATGCGTGTGGCTCTTCTCTGGACTCTCTCAAGCTTCTCCACATCCTTTTTGAATTGTGGAGCCCAAAACTGGACGCAGTACTCCAGCTGTGGCCTCACTAAGGCCGAGTACAAGGGGAGAATGACGTCCCGGGATTTGCTTGAGAAGCATCTATGGATGCAAGCCAGCGTTTTGGTCGCTTTACTAGCCGTGGCATCGCACTGCAGGCTCATGTTCATGTAAAGGGTGCAGGGAACTCTCAGGGCTGCTTCAGCAGTCCACCTGATATAAGGGGTAGTGTCTCCAGGCACCAAGTGGCCGGGCCTCAGAAGCTCCTGAGAATGAGTAGCCCTGAGCTACTTGCCAGGGCAGTTTTTTACATAGGTGCTGGTCCCAGCTTCTAGCTCCCCCTGCCTAAAGCTGTGGGATGAGCCAGGCAGGGTTATTTTGCCCCAAGTGGCACAATTTGGTCCACAACAAAGTGCATGTGGAGCATGTGCACATGCGCTGAGGCAAAAAGCTCTGGCTCAAATTTACACTGCTTCTATTTGAGCTGATGCAAGCGTGCGTGCATGCACGTGTTGCCCTAGATGGGAAGCACAAAAAAATCATTACCCTTTTTTGTTCATATTTCATAGATATCACAGACATTAGGGCTGGAAGGGACCTCGGAAGATCATCGAGTCCAGCCCCCCGCCCAAAGGGCAGGAAGTCAACTGGGGTCATAGGATCCCAGCAAGATAAGCACCCAGTTTGCTCTTGAAGGTGTTCGATGTAGGCGCTTGAACCACCTCCGGTGGCAGGCTGTTCCAGACCTTGGGGGCTCAGACAGTAAAGAAGTTCTTCCTTATGTCCAGCCTGAAACGATCTTGAAGTAGTTTGTGACCATTCGACCTCGTCATCCCTTGGGGCGCTCTGGTGAACAAACGTTCCCCCAGATGCTGGTGGTCACCCCTGATAAACTTGTAGGTGGCCATCAGATCACCCCTAAGCCTGCGCTTTTTCAGGCTAAAGAGCCCCACGGCTCTCAGCCTGTCATCGTAGGGTCTGCTGACTTGAAGGTATCCAGCTTCTCAAGATGTTCCTTCACGAAGTCAGCATTTATGGAGGGCAGGGGATCACCCTCACCCGGACTTCCCTGTCCCATAGCGGGCATGGGCGTCCCATGGGACTGATGAAAGACTGATGCAAAGTACCTATTTAATAGGTTGGCTTTTTCCTGGGCGTCAGTTGTCAGTTGCCCCATCTGGTGTTGGTTGAAGTCTTTAAAATTAGATTTGATCTTTGAAAAAAATATATGTTTAAAAATATATGTTGCAATACCATTTCTGGGAGAAATTGTGCAGGTTGCATGTGAGGGAGGTTAGGGTGGATGTCTGTGGTGGTTCTCTCTGACCACAGAATCTGTGATTTTGTATCTCCTGGATGTGTAACAGTACAGCTGGGTGCCTGGGCAGCAGCAACTGAAAGTTGCTGCTGTGCTGCCGGCATGATTCTGTGGTTGCAGTAGCAACATCTTTTTCTTGCCTGTCCCCACCTTAGTTATACTACTGGCATCTCCTGAACATCACTTTCCCTTTCATGGACTTTTGGAGAAACAGGATTGCCTGCATTGTCCTCAAGATACTCATAACACTCTGTGTTATGACAAGATCTTATATGCAGGGCTTTAGTCAGTCACTTGGAGTCCAGATTCTTTTGTTCCCCTGACTATTGATTAGATGCATCTTTTTCCCCTTCACTTGAATCTTCAGAGGTTGTCCACAGCTGGAGACAGGTCACCAAATGGAGTGGACCATGGCTCTGACAATTTTCTTTCTTAGAGGCCTGGCTGACATGCCTTCCTCACATGCTCAGGATCAGACTGCTCACCAGATTTAGGGTCAGGAAGGATTTTTTTCCACAGGCTAGACTGACAGGGCACCTTGAAGGTGTCACACCTTCTTATGCTGAGGGCTAAGGTGTTCTCTCCAGGATAACCTGGACATATCTCATTGAATCCATTCTCTATCAATACAGGGTCTCAGACTCGGAGAGCACCACAGTCACGCTCGGCTCTCTGCACGTTGTGGCATAGGCTTTCCTGAGGCCTGAAATGTTTTAGTCTAACTAAAGTCTTCAGGCTTGATATAGTTTAACTACTTAAATCATAGTGGCCTTTGGTCATGTAGTCAGATTAAATATCCAGTGGTCCTTTTGGTCCTTGCACATTCTAAAGCTATGACAGGCACATATGTATCTGTAATACAGTGAGGCCCTTTGTTAGGTTCCTGAGGAACCCACATGCACAACCCTACTGCTTGGGTCTTAGTATGCAAATCACTCACTGTTTTAATACATGTAAAGGGAAGACTCTTTAGGATATTTGAAACAGCAACTGTCAATAGCAATACTAATAAGTAAATACGGAATAAAGTGCATATTAGATCAGTTGACCTTCCTCAATCATATTCCTAGTTTAAAAAAGGGAATAATTTTCTCTTTAAATCACTAATTACATGAAAGCTACATAGAATCACAGGGTTGGAAAGGGACCTCATTGATCATTTAGTCCAACCCCCTGCACAAATGCAGGACAGGCTATTCTTATATTATCACTGACCAATGCCCATTAAACATGCCATCAGAAATCACTGCATGTAAAGAATAATGTCAAAGCCATCTTTCAGCCTTTGTGACATCTCAGCTAAGAAATTCCATCTTCAGTCTTTATAACATCCCAGCTTAGGAGCTTCACATTTTGTGCTCCCCATCTGAAACAATATGTGGTGTCATTGTTTGTTTTTGCCATGGTTAGCCCGTTCTTGGGCAAATTGCATCTATTTCTCCCAATTATTTCTTTAGAACTGTATTGGCAGGGGATATAAGTGAAGCAGCCAGATAGCTGATCA